AGGAAGAAGAAGAAGGAAGAAGAAGGAAGAAGAAGGAAGAAGAAGAAAGAAGAAGAAAGAAGAAGAAAGAAAGAAAGAAGAAGAAAGAAGAAGAAGAAGAAGAAGAAGAATTCTCACTGGTAAGATAGCAAACAGTGGCATACACTTTCAATTCAAATAGTAGGTATGGGAGGCCTTGCAGCATTATCGCAATCAAGAGATTAATGCCACACCCGTGAACAAGAGTACATATCACACAAAAATTTGTAGGTTGGGTCTCTCTAGGAATTAGCATACTGATAGGAAACATTTTGAAATTTGTTTAAGCTCAGAAGCCAGAAAGGCTGTGAAAATAGCCCAGTGAGTGAGTGTTAAAGACAGCCCAACTGAGGTAAGGGAAGATAATCTGGGAAAACGGGAAGAAGAGGCTAATTGTGTTGTGGTAACAGAGTAGATCATATCCAAAGGACATTCAAATAAAAGTGGAATGATTAAAAATGACTCATCTCTAGCAATACAATATTTCAGAGATGCAACCTGGTGTTTTCTGGATTAAGAATTTTAGACTAGTGGTTCTCAGTTATACCTGATTATAATCTAGGCAGCTTTTTCAAAAGTCACCTGCACCCCTAACCCTAATACAATTCTTAAATGCCCAGGGATGAGACAGTGACAATATGGCAAAAGACATACATTAGCCCCCTTCATTGAGGTGATTCTGATATAATCCACCTCCATAAACATGCCTTTGAACATCAAGAACTGAGGCATCTGTGGGCATTTTGGGTTAAAACAAATTGTGCCCTGTAGACTTAGTTTATGTTACAGTATTTCCTCAAGTTAATGACTTTCTTGGGATTCAGTAGACTGAGAGACCTAATTTATAGAAATCCCCACAAAATTATATATTGTAATTTATCTTTATAAAATACTGGAACATACTGCACTTGAAACAGGGAGAAACGGCAGCTTGAGTATTACAGTAATATTTACATTTCTATGTTATCCTAGTTTAATTTGCTGGCCACATCCATGCCGGGCTTTTTTGTTAATTACTTTTTTTAAAAAGTATGAAATATTTCAAGTATATTAAAAGAAGAATAATTACTGGATATCTGGTTTTGTCAAATCTTTAAATTTTGTTACCTAGTTGGTATTTCATCCCAAGTTCGAGTCTAAATTACAGACACAAAAAAAACTGTAAAACTTTTTCATTTCCAATAATTATCATAAGTTCTAGACACAAATTTATAAAATAAGTATCATTTACTAGCTTTCTAACATTTTACAGGGTTTTGTTTTGATTTCTTGTCAACATATGAAAAGCAAAGTACCCTAGCAAAAACAGAGTAGTCATACTCCAGTGTTTAACATCAAGTCTTCTATTTTATAGCACTTCAAATAACTGTTTTACTTTCCTAATAAAATCCGAATATAATAATTTCCCTTTAGATTTATTTTTCTTTCTTTAGGTCGTCTTTGCTATAATAACCTCAATATGTGCCAGTGTCACATTTTCATGTACTTGAACAATGGACAAATGAAAACAGAATTAAAATTATACTTGTAGATGAAACAGATACAAGATTTCTATAAAGTACCATAAAAACCGACTTCATGCTACACAATTTTATGTGTGTAATGCTAAGGTAGGCTGTACATCTGACTAGTGGCCCACTTTCTCAAGACTGAATAGATCATCTACGAATAACAATAGAAAATAGCAGAAATATTAATAAATGGTAACCCAGGCTGGGTGCCATAGCTCACACCTGTAATCCCAACACTTTGGGAGGCCGAGGTGGGTGGATCACTTGAGGTCAGCAGTTTGATACTACCCTGGACAACCTGGTGAAACCCCATCTCTACTAAAAATACAAAAACTAGCTGGGTGTGGTGGTGTGTGCCTGTAATCCCAGCTATTCGGGAGGCTGCAACAGGAGAATTGCTTGAACCCAGGAGGCAGGGGTTGCAGTCAGCTGAGATCGCACCATTGCATTCCAGCCTAGGCAACAGAGTGAGACTCCATCTCAAAAATAAATAAATAAACAACCAAACAGTAACCCCAAATAATCACTTTCCCCTGTTATTTCAGTCCAGTTTTTTTTTCCAGTTACATTGTTTAGAGAACCTCTGCTTTAAAGAACTGCAACTTAGTGCAGCAACTCACACCTAATGATTCCAGCACTTTGGGAGGCTGACATAGGAGGATTGCTTGATGCCAGGAGATTGAGATCAGCCTGGGCAACAGGCTGTGAGATTCTATTTCTACAAAAAAAAAGTTAAAAAAATTAGCCAGGCATTGTGGCATATGCCTGTAGTCCTAGCTACTTGGTAGGCTGAGGTGGGAGGAATGCTTCAGCCCCAGAATTTGAGGCTACAATGAGCCACGATCTCACCACTGCACTCAGGCCTGGGCGACAGAGCAAGATCCTAACTCTTAAAAACACAAACAAACAACTTGCAATTTAGGTGGAAAAGGGAAGTAATATTACACCATTTTTCATTCAACAAACACTTATAAAGTACTTACTACTAAGTGCTGGACCTAGGCACTATGTCAGGGGGTCAGGTTAAGATGTAGTCTGATTTCAAGTGACTTAGGGACAACTCAAAGGTCACTTGCAGGTGTATGACTCCACCTGTCATCCATCCAACAAGTATTTCTTGTAAGTCTACTACATACTGTTCTAGGTGATGGCAGATGTAGCAGTAAATAAAACAAGACAAAACAAATTTCTCATTCTCACAGAGCATCCATTATGGTAAGGGAAGAAAAGGAAATAGAAACATATCAAGTAATTATAAAAAAGAAAAAGGAAAAAAAAGACAGTAATTTTACATAAAATAATGACATTCATCTTCGTGTTGAAGATACTTCTGCTGAACAAACCTTTTATTTATGCTCTCATTTAACTGGTATCTTGAAAGGTACCAATTGCCTCCCAATCACCAAATTTAATGGAATTTCCTCAGTCCCCATTTTCCTTGTTTTCCTATAAGTAACTGATACTGTTGACCACCTTCATTTTGAAACTCCAATGGTTTGCATGACAAATTTCCTATTCTGGTTCTTATCTCTTCACATTAGTGTGACATTAATGTAAGCTAAACAGTCACATCTAGGAGTTGAGACCATCCCCTATTTAACATAAGGAAAGAGATTTAATTGAAGTGGAAACTGGATAACACCTAGAGAAAAGTTTTCATTTGTTTCTTAATTTCCAATAGTTTTTAGAAGATTATATAGCAATGCAATGACATTTATTCAAATCACTAGAGATTAACAACACAATAAGCCCCTGTATAAAATCTTACATTTTATGAAACCCTTTCACATTTACTTCATTTAATCCTCATTAAATAACCCTATGAGGTAATAGTTGCATATTAAAAACAAAGTCCTGCTTTTCAGAATGACTTCACTAAAAAACTACACCTAAATACTATCCTTTATTTTTTCTTTAACATTTGGAAAATAAAGTGTAATGAAAAACTTAAGAAACATCTGTAATCCCAATATTCAAAAATAATATCTGCTAACATTTTGCCATTCATCGAACACTTCTTCCATCCCATCCCTATTACATTTAATAATTTTTAGTTGCTTCATACTATCTAGAATATTAGCGTTCTATAAAAAAGAAGTTTGCTTTTTATTTAAAAATAAACAATCCAGGTTGGGGGGGGCATACTGATCAAACTGTGATATCAACTCAAACAATTTTTATAATTTTTTAAGTTGTAGTTTTAGAATTACAAGTGGAAAAAGAAATGAAGCATATTTATTCAATAAATGTTTACATGTGCTAAGCAACACAAACAAAAATTATGTGCATGAAAACAACAAGATTCTCACCTGTTCAATCTCTTTGGTTTTTGATGCTATTGCTTTAGAGCGACTGGTTAGCTGACTATCTTCAAATAATTCTATGCCATCTGCTGTGTTTGACTGAGGTTCCTCTGGCTGGTCAGTAAATAAAGGTGCTGTGGATCCTGCCTTGTAAAGGAATTAGAAACCTTTAATTACTTTCTTAAAAAACATAGAACATTTCAGATCGTTGTGTTAGGCTCGTGCCTAACGATCTGGCAAGTTATATTAAGTGCTAGGTTTAACCTGTTCTAAGGAAAGAAACTCTTACCATTTCACTATGCATGATTAGCATATGTCAAATAGATTAGAGAGGAAATGACTGCTACCTTTTTTTCCAGTATGGACAGTTCATGAATTTGCATGTCATCCTTCCGCAGGGGCCATGCTAATCTTCTGTTTCATTCCAATTTTTAGTGTATGTGCTGCCGAAGCAAACGAGACTGGTACTTTCAAAATTTTAGGTAAGACAAAGCCTCTAGGCTTATTCTATTCCAAAATATTATTTCAAACTATATTAAGATACAGATAAAAAATTCTTGTCCCATGACTATTCCTTAAGCAATCAGTTTACAAAATACTGAGGAGAAAAAGTCCAAATGGAAGTGAGAAGTATTTTACACACATAAAGAAATATTTGTAAAGGGACTATAAGAAAGGGTTCTACCTTTAAAAGTTAAATCACCTTGCTCCTGTAGCCTAAGAATTCATTGAAGTCATTAAAAATAAAATCCCACAAATAATAGTGATGATCACTTCAGTTTTAGACCAATAATTGAATGAATAAACATATTGTTCATTACGTCTAAAATAGAAGGAATCTATACACACACACAGACTATCTCTAGAACGATATTATCTACAGAAAAAAATGATCAAAGGAATTGTCTCCATAGTAACAACTTGGAAGAAGTGGGATAGAAGAGCCATATTGTAAATACTTTGGTGCCATTTGAATTTCTGACACATAACATGTATGATCTACAAAAGGAAAAAAAACCCTAGTTTTTTTTTTTTAATAAGTTTGAGTTACATATTTTAAGGGACTTATATCAATAGCATAAAAATCATTTAAAGAAAGAATTCCACTAGCAACATTATTTGTAAATTGCCCAGTCCCTGTGCCTGCTACTGCAACACTAAACTAAGATATAGGCCTACACACAATATGTAAACTGGTGAGCACAGAAAGCACATCAGAACAGATAGGAGCTTTCAGAAAACAAGCATGTGAAAAAGAAAACAAAACTGACAGTTAAAAGAGCTCACTAGTAATTAAATTTAATTTAATTAGATACATATGTCCAAAGTACTGTAGGGAAAACAAGGCAAGCATTTGAGACACATTCAACATATATTGCTAGACAAAATTAATTAATTGAGGTCATCAAAGAAATATAAAGTAGCATAAAAGTTTACACTAGGTAGAAAAGTAGAATCAAGAAAGATCTTGAGTTGTATTATCTCCAACACTATTGATTCCACTGAATAAGTACACATTTGAAAAAGAGCCACGGAAGATGGTCATTCTAGTTTAGGGACAGGATAAGCACAGACATTGAAGCCGAAAATAACACCCTATGTGTGAAAACAACATGTCATATATATATATATATATATATATATATATATATATATATATTTATATTTTTTTTTATTTTTTTTATTTTTTTATTTTTTTTGCATTTTAAGAACACTTTTTATTATTCTTTTGAGACAGAGTTTCACTCTTGTTACCCAGGCTGGAGTGCAATGGCGTGATCTCGGCTCACCGCAACCTCCGCCTCCTGGGTTCAGGCAATTCTCCTGCCTCAGCCTCCTGAGTAGCTGGGACTACAGGCACACGCCACCATGCCCAGCTAATTTTTTGCAGTTTTAGTAGAGACGGGGTTTCACCATGTTGACCAGGATGGTCTCGATCTCTTGACCTCATGATCCACCCGCCTCGGCCTCCCAAAGTGCTGGGATTACAGGCGTGAGCCACTGCGCCCGGCCCTATTATTCTTTTTAAGAAATGCAACAAGAGCCTTACAAACCATCTGTCTCAAGAATAAGCACAAAGACCGACTGTGTTTGTGGTGCCACCACAGTTGCAGAAAGGAATGTCAGTCAGAAATGAATTGTGTTTCAGTCACTCTGCATGGTTGCTGCCACACATGGAAGGTTTGTAGGCCAACTTTTTAAAATTCCCAGTTAAGGTAAACAGGAAATTAGATGATCTTCATTAAGACTCCATGGGTGCGTCTGAGCTCCTGCTGCCAAAAGGGCCACTAACAGATTAATTTCTTGCACTCCCGAGAACAAGCCTCTCGTCTTCCAAATGCTTCATTTACTGAAGAGACTGTGCTTATATCCCAGATCCGAAGCCCTTCTTTTTCACTTTCAAAGGCATAAATAAATGGCAAATCAGGAAAACATGAAGAACGGAAGAGAATTCCCATTTTCATGTCCCTAGAATGAACTAGACTTGGCCTATCTCCTTAAGATGTCCTAGGTCTTCACATATTTGTCTGCTGAAGCAGTCACGAGACAGGCCCTTGATTTGACCAGAGATTTCATCATTGTGTGAATTAAGTGTAAAAACTGGCTTATCTGAACATGCATCCAAATTATATACAAAGCTGTCATCTGTACTGGCCAAAAATTGAAAAGGTGAAAAGTGATTCCAAGTCACTCTCTCTATCTGCCCACTGAATCGCCAAATTCAGTGGCTTTCATCTGGACTTCGGCAGTCATACAAAGCCACTGACTTGTCATACGAGCCAGAAATCAGAGTCTGTGCTGCAAATGGATGAAAACTGCGGCATCTGGATGTTGTCTGTGTGTACAGTGAGGCTAGCTGCTGCTTTCCCCAACGACATATCCCACAGAATGACAGTGTTGTCAGCTGATGCACTAGCCAAAACATTTCTGATTAGCTTATTCCATGAAAGGTCAAGGCAGCATTGTGCCCTTCTGCTGAGGAACTCTTCTTTCCTTTCTTTTTCTTCTTTTTTGAAAGTTTACTTCTGAGTGCGAAGACGGGCTCTAAAGAGTCCACTATATCAAGGTCCCACACTTTAATAACAGGGGTATTATTTCCTACAGCAATATAATTTCCAGTAGAATCATCTGGGCTAGGATCAAAGTTCAGTCAGTCCACACTAAGAGGATATGCAGACAAGAGTATATCATGGTTTACATAAAGAGTCTTCTTGATTATAAACATGCATCTCCAAATTGCACTGGTCCTGTTCAGCTGAGCCACAAACTGTGAGATTATCACTGGGCTTAATCAAGAAATCTTCACTTACATATTGTTCCGCATCTTTCAGAGCAACGGAACGATCCTCCTGATCATAACTCCCATAGACCATAAGACGCAAGAGAGATTAACCAAGAGTCTCAGCATCTGGGTAATCTTCCTCATCAATAGTATTTATCTAAGTCACATTCAGCCAGCTCATCATCATCATGCGTCCTGTCATCCTCTGGGTCACCATCCTCCAGGGACTCACTTTGCATGTCACCTTCTGAACGACTCCTCTTCATCAATGCCACCTTCTTCTTGGAGTTTCTCCTTTGCCTCAGAAATGAGACGTTTAACTTCTTCTTTACTCAGCTCTACCTTGTCTGGTGTCCCTTTGGCCACACCGTAGTGGACCCAGGCCACACACGTAACCTGGCAGCTGTGGTTCATGATCCTCAGCTCAAGGGCATGTCAGGCTAGAAACCCAGACACAGTGAGAGGGACCACCGCTGCATTGGAGCTGCGCACACCCAGGGTTTCTCATGGGGCCGCTTGTAAGTCAAAAATTTCAAATTTTTCTTCTATAGCAGGAAGTGACTATTCTATTGTAATTTTTTTTTTTTTTGAGACAAGGTCTTGCTCTGCCACCCATGCTGGAGTGCAGCGAGGCAATCATGGCTCACTGCAGTCTCAATCATCCAGAAACAAGATTCTCTCACGTCAGCCTCCTGAACTGCTGGGATTACAAGCACATGCTACCATGCCCAGCTAATTCTTTGCGGGATTTTCTCTTTTTTTTGTACAGATGGGGTCTCACTATTTTGCCCAGGCTGGTCTCGAACTCCTAGGTCAAACAATCCTCCTGCCTTGGCCTCCCAAAGAGCTGAGATTACAGGTGTAAGCCAGTGTAGCTGCCCCTCACCCTCCACCTTTTTTTTTTTTTTTTTTTTTTGAGACAGGGTCTTGCTCTGTCACCCAGGCTGGAGGGCTGTGGTGTGATCACTGCAAACTTCAACTCCTGGGCTCAAGTGATCCTCCAACCTTAGCCTCCTGAGTAGCTGGGACTAAGGGGCCACCGCACCCAGTTTTTCTTTTTTTTTTTTTTTTTTGGTAGTAACAAGACCTCACTAAATTGCCCAGGCCAGTCTCGGATTCCTGACCTCAAGCAATCCTCCTGCCTCAGTCTCATCTACTGGGACATTCTAATATTCTTCAAATAATTTTTTTTTCATACCAACAACCAACAGAAAACTCTCACAGCTATTTGTTTAAGGACAGCAAATTTTATCTCCACAAAACTTGACTGCAACCTCCTTGATGGCTAGGATAGTATCTCAAAAGCAATGTCTAACACTGCATACTTAGTGAATTTAAATAAACTATAAGAAAACTAGTATAGTATTTTTTAAAGTGTGCCTTAATACACTAATCCTGCAATATATGCTGTGAAAAAAATTGCATAGTCAAAAGTTGGTAAATTATGAAAACTTTTATTCGCCCTCTTACTGACACTGATGAGCATATTAATAATACATTAAAATCTCTAAAAAGTGCTGAAATATTAAAGCCAACCTAACCATTTTAAACCTAGCATTTCTCAAATACACTGGCTATTAGAATCTTTGTGTTTTTTTTTTCCTTCCTTAGACCACTAAGACTGTTCAGACTAAGCACAGCCTTACACTTTCAACTTCTGGGCTTCTAATACAGCATTTCCCAAAGCATCAAATATAGTATCAAACACTTTGGGAAATGCTAGTATAAAACTGAAGTATAAAACTGAAAAGAGGCAGGAACCACAACATGTCTGAATATTTAAGTATATTATTAATTTACCTTCAATTTCACTGGACTTTCTATAAACTACAGGTTTCCCCAAATTGCTTACAACTATACTGATGGCAGCAAGTGATGGTAAGTTGGAAACTTAAGCACTCTATCTCTCTAAGCTCGTAATAATGTAATTTACACAATGTTTCTGAAGTACATGAACCATTACTTAAAAGGCTCATATAAACTAAAATATTGCCACAATTAGATTTAAACACAGATGCACATTCACACATACACAATATTTTGACAAACTCTTTATTGGCATCAAAGGCCTTTCTTCTTTCCAGGTTATTCTGTCAAGTTAGATATGAGTTTATAGGACCAAGGCCAAAATTTTATTTCTCAATAAGCATGGACTACTGAAATGAGTAACTATTTAACAATAGCCTGAGAACTACTGTTAAATAGTTAGTAAATTAGCAAAATATTAATAAGCAAAAATATAAATAAGAGAAAAATATTAAGATGATATGGGGCTAACTTTACAAAAATTATCACAAAAATTTCCCAAATGTTTTATTTCCAGTATGAAAAAGTATCAATCTAAGTGGAAAAACATTTTACAGAATGGGATGAAATTGATTCTGCTGTTCAACATTAATGACATACACAAATAAACATATTATGGTTATCAGTGCTACTCTCACATATCTTGCCTTTGATCCAACAAAAGAACATGTCTGACCTATGACTCCATTTACAGATTTTTAGGGTTATTTAACTTTTCATTAATTCAAAATATAGCAAATTCTGAGCAAACTTTAAAGGAAAAAAAAGATGTTTAAAAAAACTCTTTCTAAATCCAATGTCACTCACTGATTATTCAGTGTCAAGATGCAGTCAAGAAATGAGAGAACCCAAGTAGAATATTTTAAATTTTAGAAAAGTAGTGAGCTTTTATAAAATCCTGAGATAAAAAATGTTAAGAGAAGGGAAGATGAATACATAAAGCCTTGCTAATTGAAGATAAAGTATTTAGGAAACAAGAAATTATTCTTTTTGGAAGTTTTTGGTTCTACAAAACAAACTACCAATATTCTGAAGCAGCAATTTTGAAGCATACATATCAATTATTAACATAGAAACACTATTCTAAATTATTAGAGAAAATAACCAAAATAATCCAATTAAATTATTACTGAAAAGTATTGTTCATGCTTTTAAATAGTGCTGGAAAAGTACCAAGGAGGAATAGCTTGGTGTTTCTGATCCATTTACTGAAGGATACGCATAAGTATCTATTATTATAGCTACAATAAGGAGAAAACCTTGACCCACTTAAGAACAATTGATATCTAAAAGACAGATCGGCATTTTTTAAAAGAAAGGCTCTATTTTTGTAAGTTCTGATAGGGTTTGTACTTTTTATGAGCAGTTTTCATTAGGTACTTTGGAAAGGATCTTTTCAGTGTATAAAGATGTAGTTAAGCACTATTTTTATGTAGAGTATCAATGCTTGATCCCTTTTATCAAAGAACTACCTATAAGTCATTCCAAAAGTAAATTAAAAAGCCAGAATTCTCCTTCAAATATAATAATTTGTCACGGGACAGATTTTTATATTGTCTACCTGTCATGTCAAAGAACTACTCTAGTATCAAATTCTGAATCTAAAAGCTTAATTTTGCACATAAAATTTCTATATTTCCCTTTTAGATACGTTACAAGTTATATAGAAACTTTTCAGTTCATTTCAAAATATGTTAATAAAAACATGTCATAAACCTTTTTCTATGGTCCCAAAAATGTTCTCAACTTTTTGTACTCAAAACTCATCAAAGTCTCAGGTTGCCCAATGAATAACTTCACTTCTTGAAATATTTATGCGATAATCTGCATGAAGTATAACAAGCAATATAAATATGGTACAATCCAAGGTCCAATTAGATTTCTGTTCTGAATTCACTGGCTTACAACTAGTGGCTTAGCATGATTTCCTGAGATACTTTTAACGGCAAAGCCCATTAAAAGAAGTATATAAATAATGCATTTTTCTTATACTCCATATTTATACTATTCTTATACTCCAAAACTATAGAAGACATTCAGACAAAGCGTGATTACTGAATTTAGTCATTCATATTCAGACTATCATTCTGTGTGGTAAATTTTAATACCTGTAATCCATGAGGCTATATTTTGAGGTAGGGAATAAACCAAATATTTTCAACCCATAATTTAAAACCCATAATTTAAAACAAAACATTCAGATATGAAACATAAAAGAGAAATTATGCCTTACCTCATACTCAGAAATTTCAGGCAAGTTACTTTCATCTGATTTCTCTAGCTTTTCAGCGGCCCACTTGCTTGCAGCCTCAGCAAGTTCCTTTTCAGTTAGCCTACTGGGTTTGTCTAACACCTAATAAAAATAGAAGAACATTTCTGTTACAATTCTCAAGGGCTTTTAAACATCAAATACACCAAGAAGTACACTCCAGTTACACTAAAAATCATATATGCCTTCAAATTTATATGAAGAACAAGTACATTCTTTATTTCCTCCTTCAAAAATATTCAACCTAGAATAACTTAAGGTAGCAATTCCTTTGGGACCTACAGACCAGATCTAATTCTTAATTTCATTTACATAAGACTCTATAAATTCATCTAAGTAAAAAAGCAAAAGACACTAACAATTAACTCATATACTAATCATATTTAGAATATAAAAGACATCATACTAATTTCAACTTTGTGTCTTTAAGTATATCTAATGAAACGTCTAAATTTCAGTAAGGCAAACTCCTAATTAATAAAACAGAAATGTACAAATATGCTATTTTTACACTATAGAGTGAGTTATATAAATCCTATTCCTTACACAAAATTTTTAAACTTAAATTTCGTTTTTTGATCCTACCACTAGTTCCTTTATCTAACTGCGTGTAATACTAAACAAGGTATGGGCTTGGCAGTTATACACAGATCTGGTTTTCAATCGCAGTTTAATGACTTGCTAGGTGGATGACTTTATATGCAAAACTTATGACCCTGTGAACCTTGGTTTCTTCATTTACAAAATAAGGGTTAATAATACTAGCTTTACAAAGCAGCTGTGAGAATTGAAGGAGGTAATAGATCTGAAAGTATCTAAAATAATGCTTGGTACTTTAGTGTTTCTTTCTTTTCCACATTCACCAATGTGAATCTATTATACTAAAACATCTGAAAATCAATCAGCCCATGGGCTCAATATAAAAATAAAGAAAGTAAAATGTCTTTTCTGGATCAGATATAATTCCCCCAGTACTGTTTAAAGGCTTATTTTGTATAATAACATATGAACGGTAAAGCACAAATTAAAAAATTATTTCCTTAGGACCATTATGATAACTCTCTAATTTCATTTGATTTCCTTGGCATACATTTTCACCAACTATGCCCTGCTATGCCTAGTTGCATAACCATCTGTTACTTAAAAAAATCTTTCTATTACTAAAGTTTACTTCTCTAAAGTCACATCCCTGATTCCAAATATACCTCTTGTGGGTGACAGTGCTGGGCACTGAACTTATGGGGCACTACCATTTATAAAGTGCTTTTATTTATGAACCAAAAGAAGTACTTTAATTAAATAGAATTCCATGAAGATGATTAGAACTTTATTTTCCCAACTTATAAACTAAGAAACTGAATGACGGTAACTTGCTCAAAGTCACTAATAAATGTTGAGCTGGAATTTAAATCTAGGCTTTATTGGGGGATGGGGGGATAGAGTCTCACTCTGTCACCCAGGCTGGAGTACAGTGGCATGATCTTGGCTCACTGCAACCTCTGCCTCCTGGGTTCGAGCGACTCTCCAGCCTCAGCCTCCCAAGTAGCTGGGATTACAAACATGCACCAGCATGCCAGAATAATTTTTGTATTTTTAGTGGAGATGGGGTTTCACCTCATTGGCCAGGCTGGTCTTGAACTCCTGGTGATCCACCCATCTCGTCCTCCCAAAGTGCTGG